CATCTTGAAACCAAGTACTTTTGGCATCGATACTTTTACCAAATACTATAAGTAGGTATCGGATAAAAGTACTTGGTATCGGCAAAAAGTACTCATACATAAACTCCCATCGCTTGTAAAGCAAAAGTACGAATGCCAAAATATAAGGTAGAGCCACGATTGAGAGAGGTAGAGCAATAAGTGAGAGCACAATATTCGATCAACTCAAAGCCATTTGAGCAACAGAGCAAACAAAATTTACCGTTGCTATTGTGGTTTGCTATACCTCATTTCATTTGAATTTCATTATCTTGGTGGCGTTGCTTCAACTGAAAGTTAAGCTTGTAGAAACAGTCCGCAGAAAAACTAATTTAGTACGTATTAACCAAAGTATTTTACATACAACATATTTGTGAAATGGCGCCATCCTCCGAAGTGTGGAGATATTTCACAAAATCTAACTCCTCAGAAGCTTCATGTAAAATGTGCCTAAAGAAGGTCAGATTTTGTGGAAACACATCAAACTTACACAAGCACATGAAAGTGCATGAAATAAATACATCAAAGAATAAGTAAGTAGTTAAATACACTTTAGCTCATCTAATGTTTTTCACTGATTTGGCTTGATGTACCCTTTTTTTAGCGTTGAGGAAGGTAATGGAAATCCAAAACCATAAACGGTCAACCTAAAATTTTTGAGTAAAAGTAGCAAGCTAGCTGGCGGAAAATGAGTAAATAAAAGTACATACTCGATACTTTTTGGTTGGTATCGGCTTGGTATCGATGCCTTTTCAGAAAAATACTTCCAAGTATAAGTATCGAACTAAAGGTTATTTTCACATCCCTACTCACAACTAACAGCGAGCATCTCTACACGTCCACCTACAGCCAGACATGCAAATGTGCTTTCAAATGCTCAACTTCAATCACATTTCGTTGAAACACGAGCAGTTATCGGGTAACAAACAATAAGCTGGTGCAGAGACACGAGTTGGTCCGCTACAGCATGACAGAGGAACACTTTTGTAAGTACTCCAATATACCACAAATAGACTACATGGTCCAACGATTTTTGCATTCATAAGCACAATACATTTTGCTTCATAAGCACTACAAAAATTTTCTAAATCAATTTTTTTTTAAATTTAAATTGTTGCACAGGTCGCTAGCAATAATTTGGCTTTAACAGATTGAAAAAATATCAATTAGTCGACGAGTTGTAGCCAAAAAACCATATAAACAATATGCTGAAAATCGGCATTTAACTGCAAAGTTCGAAGGTCGATTAAAAAAAAATTCGAACTAACATAAACAAACGCTGCGATACGGGTTTTCTAATTTAGCCTCTATTTTCACCCCTCACTCTCAGAATCGACCTAACTTTTGCTAACCTGAATTTGTTCCACAGTGATATACAAAAGGTATAATATATACATACATACATAAACATATACACATATATACATATGTAAGTACTCATATTTTATTTTGTAATTTACCTGTGGTGAGGGATTATTTCTGTGCCTCCTTGGGGTCGGAGACGGATTGGTTTCCTCCTCACGGGCTCTTGCAGATGTGGTAGGCAAGTCATCATCGCTTAAATTGGGCGCGGATACTGCCTCCTCCCCAGTTCCAAAAGAAGTGGACATTGATATGCCTTCTACAACAGGTTACAGTCCGGAAATTCTTGCTACTGTTTCCTACGCCTCCGAAAATGTGTACTTTTTAAATGGGCCGCCTCCGGTAGCTACGGCCTCTCTTCTGTTGTGTGCCAATTTCTTCCTCACTTCACTTTTCCACTCAGTCCAGGTCTAGTTGCAAAAAATCTAAATATTAGTGAAATCCTTATAATCACAATAATATTTTACTTTCTTCCACTCATTTGTGTTTTTTATTGGTGGTCCTTGGCTATTCAACGACTCCGTTAGTTGGCGCCACTTTTCCTCAAGAGCCACTTTGTCTCCTTTGAAGAAGCCTTTGGCTATGTCTGGATTTACTTCCATGAAATCCAACATATTTTTGCTTTGTTCCGCCGTCTTGTGCTTTCCCCTGCATTTTAATAATTTTAATTTTAATAATTACCACTTTTATATTCTTTACTTACATTCTTTGCTGTTTGCTGACTATAAAATTTTTCCTTTGACCGTTAACAGTTATATTTTTGTTTTTCGTTTTGATTATTTTCTATTCCACTGGCTTTTAGCTGATCGGAACATTTCCGATAAAAAATTTCCGATAATCGGAATGCAGAACATCAAAATTCCGATAGAATTCCGATTCGAATTGGATCGAAATGTAGAACAAGGCGGAATCGGAAATAATTTCCGATTGTCGGAATGCAGAACACCAACAATCGGAAACAAATCCGACTCCGATTCGAATCGGATTGCAGAACAGGGCTGAATATTAAAAAATAATTTTTCACCATCGAATATACAGTGAGTTGGGTATTTGCAAATTATTTTTATTTGCAAATAGCTTACGTATAAACGTAGTAACAGTAATGTGTCTACGATATCGCAGTAAAACCAACATGCTACAGATCTGTAGGGATAACTAGCCTGTAATTGGCTATAAAAAGACCATTGAACAGCTTAAAACAGAAATTATAACAACACATAACTACTAGTGGGCACACAGCTGACTTTGCAAACACAAAAATAATAGACAAGAAAAAAGGGAAGAGGCTAGGCATACATTGGAGAGCCTAAAAATACTGCAAAAAACAGAAAACACAATCAACAAGAAGACACCGATCACATTGCTGCTGCATACATTTTATGTTTATAACGAATTTAAATAATTATCAGTGTTAACAAAACTACCACAACAGATGGTACCGAAGTAGAATTAAAATTTTCATTAAATATGTTAAAGTAGATATATGTTTAAGTACGGTGTTAAAAAAGTTTAATTGCTCATTTGCACGTCATACCTGTATGTTGCTTTAATCATTTCTGTCAAATGTTAATATTTGCAATTTTAATATTTATGTATTTATTGTTGAAACAGAAAAATAAACAAACAGCCCCCGTGGATGCTAATGAGTTTAGCGAAACGGCAATAATAGTGGAATAACCTTGTTTTATTACTTCTGACCAGGGTTCGGTCGGTGTTATGCAGACAAACTTTTGTTTGCCAAATTAAATGGCGGCTGCTTACTTTGCTCGCAGGTGGTTATGTCGAGTTTGGCACAGGGTTGCACGTTCATTATGGTTTTCATGGCTATTGCCAACACGAAATGAGAATTTCAGATGTACATAACGCGCAAAATTTAAAATTTTTGTATATGACAACACCGAATTTGCTGCAGTTTGACCAAACAAAATTAGTTTGCTGTGAGAGTCGCCAAACTCGCTCTCTCCGAGTTTGCTGCAACAACAATTGCACGCAGTTTGCCAAACAAAATTTCTGCATAACACCGACCTAAGTAAAAACACTATCAGCTGATTGCCAAAAAATGCCTACAGCTGAGATCACCTGTTTTTTGGCATTTGCTCTTATCTTTTACAATTTCTTTAATTTCTATTACAATTTCTTCCATTTCTATAACAATTTATTCAAAATACACTAACAAATTTAACCAAAAACACCGATCCACTAACCAAAAACACACCTACAGCCTGCCAGGAAAAACGGTAAGAAGAAGAGTTACTTTACTTATGAAACTGCACGATGCCTTCGTACACGAACGCGAGCGTGAACGTATCAAATATTCTCGATTGATTCTCTTTCCCGAACGAGAAGCATAAAACAAGTCCAGATCGTTCGCGTTCGCGAATGTTACACCTGATTTACATGATTCAAGTACTTGAAAGCAATTCTTGCTCATTCTCTTTTGTGTTTTTTATTTGCTTTTACACGTTTCAATTCTGTTGAATTCAAGTCTTTGGTTCTTTAAATGGGAAGCAACGAAAATGCCAAAAGCAAAGCAAGAAAGTTGAAACGACTTGACGGTACAGACGCATGTGTACTCGTCCCTTTTCTTCTCACCCCCTCTCTTCCATGTGCGAGCAGAATTGAATTCAATACTTGAACTGTGTAAAAGCACACTTAGGTAGAAAAAATTGCCGCTGTTGTTCGTACGCCTATGTATTGGTGGATCAAACAGCGTGCGTTCATACCCTGTGGGGAAAATCTCTAGTTCTGAACTGGTGCGCTTCTAGTACATTTAGACCCAGTACTGGTTCGCGATAAATCTCTTTTGCATGCAAGCAACTGGCGAATTTAACATGGTGATGTCCTAGGAAGTGTCAATTGCCCCCCGCTGCATCCCTTTTTCGATAGTTCCGAACTAGTCCTAAATTCTATAGTTCCGATCCAGTTCTAAAATCGACAGACGAAAGAAAAAAGTATCATGATTTTTCAATCTTTTTGGTTCTTCCGTGTTTGCGATTTTAGGTTATTTTGGAAGAAATGTGTTTTCAATTTGAAATTAACTTTGTTTGAATGATTGTAAGAAATGTACGTTTACATACTTTTAGCTGTAGCTGAGTTTGCAGAGGTGATCGCTGTTATTTCTTAGATTCCAGACTCTCCCAAGATGTTGAAATGTTAACACAAATTTTAGTTTTGTGTTACCAAGCTATGAAAAAGCATATGCGAAGCACAGAATAGAAGCGTATTTGAACGAAAAAGCTGCTGAACACATATCTATGTAAAGTAAACAAGCCCCCAGCTGCATCCCTTATTCGATAGTTCCGAACTGGTTCTAAATTCGACAAATAAGATCTAGTTCGTTCTGCATACCTTTTTCTATAGTTATGAACCATTTCTAAATTTGTCACTTTAGATATAGATTTCTAGTCAAAAAAACTGAAAAAATTAGTCTTTTAAATTCACCACTTTTCGCCGATTTTCGACTGGTGGGGATCTAGTTCCTATCGGACTAGTTCCTTTTTGGCGATAAAGACCTAGTACGGAACTAGAAATTTGATTCACTAGTCCGCGGTTTCCCTACAGGGTATATGTAGCTATAAATGGCAGCGATATGGTACTCATTTAAAGTATCGCTGGAAAAATATCGGGTACTACATTAATATCGGAATAAAAAGACTCGATATTGCAAATATCGATACCAAAATACAAAAAACGGAATATCTGAAAAAGTGATTAGAAACCTCCGAGCGTATTTCTGCCATGAAAACCAGCTTCTCATAAAAACGCCCTTTGTGGCACAACATCAAGGCGCACGCAACAAATCAGAGGAGAAGCTCGGCCAAACGCTAACATATTTTGTGTGTATGAATTATTTGGGATTTAATAGAAGAGTAAAATGTACATATAAAAAATGCCAAGTTGATACGATCGATAAGCAAATTTGAAAGTTTTTATTAAGCATTTAAAGATCCTTTGAAGAATATCAATCTATAGAGATGAGGAAATAAAAAAAACCAGTTTTGCAACTTTATTTATTAAAAAGCTTTAGACGGTAATAAATAATTATTTTTTTATTTGGCCATTTTATTTTAAACGAAATAAACAAATTTAAATGACACGAAACAAACATTAATCTAGGTTGTAATTTTCTTAACATTTCTGCAGATATTTTCTGCACTCTATTTTTATGTTCAAGTATCTTATTCTAAAAAAAGGTTCTCCAAAAAATTAACATTTTAGATTTTTTTATCTAATATTGCTTTGGTATTGACTAGAAAGTTGTAAATATATAATTTTGATCAATACTAAGCAAATGGCCATTCATTTTGATAAAAATCGAGTTAGTTTTCTCCAAGCATTTCAAAAACTGTAAACATCGGAAAGTAGATTTATGTATGTAAGTAAAATAGGAACCATTGACAATTACTATGTTTATACGTAAGCTATTTGCAAATAAAGATAATTTGCAAATACCTAACTCACTGTTTATTCGATGGTGAAAAATTCTTTTTTAATATTGCCTGATTAGAAAAAGGCAATAATATGACCACCGAAAAGAAAAATAAAGTTAAAATGGCAACGTCTTGATTACAAAAAGGCAATAAGATGACCATCAAAAAGGAAAATTCACCTAAGAACTCAGCGTTTATACGGCAAAGTTTACCATTTTGCAAATTGTTATTTGCAAATAATGCGTGTGTATAAACGTAGTAAATGAATACCTAAACTCCGAAAAGATAGTCGCATCTGGTATACTGACGGCTCTAAGATCGGCCATGGTGCCAGAGTAGGAATAGGCATTCAACTAAGACGGCTGTAAGTGTAATCTAGATGTACAGAAAGTAAATACGCTAAATCCTTTATCAACGTGAAGAACAAATCCGATCTTCTTAGAAGATACACAACAAATTAAAAACTTACTTGGTAGTTAATTTGACTCCAAACTAACGTTTGCGAAGCATATCGACATTATTGTGTCCAAATCCTTTTGCGATGGTTGGCTTTATAATAAATACACATTTAATAATAAATAATTTTTCCTGACTGCTCGCAATAAAGATACACTTTCTGTTTATTTTGTAATTCTTTTTTTTTTACAAACAAATAATATTTGGGGATTAGGTATGGTAGCATGAAATGTCACAACCTGCTTAATTGTCAGGTAGTTAATATTGCGTCCGAAATACGACAATGAAACTACCTTCTTTTTTGTATCATGGAGCAGACTTGAAAGCAAGACTTGACGTGTCTGAAAGCTGACTAATTTGAGTTTATGACATTCGATACGATACTAGGATTCTGGTACTCGATTCCAAAAAATATCGTTTTAAAACTATCGAGTAAAAAATATCGGTATCGAATGCCAAAAGAATCGATATGGAATCGTTCGACAAAAATGAGGTGTCAAATGAAAGGGCTTGGTCTCTAGAGTATATAAGTATATATTTTTTGAATAGGGTTGCCACCTGCGTTTCAAATTATGATATTTACACCGTTCTCCCGATTTTCAAAAATGAAGTGCCAAATGAAAGGGCTTGGCCTCCAGATGTGCAGTTGTGCAGTGCATTTTACGGACGTAATAATTCTATTTTTAAATTTCATAGTCTGGGCATGTAAAAAGCTGGTTACCTACTGCAGCGGTAAAACAATAAAGGCGATAGTAACTACAACCAAAATTTATCGAATACTAGCAATCGGCAATAATGAGTGACTAACCGTCTAAATTAAAGTTAGATTAAAAATTAAAAAATTCAAATAAAATTAATAGGAAAATACACTGAGAGAAAAAAAATTTTTAATTTAAAATTGTGGCAAGCAGCTTTGCGCACTCAGTTACAGCCAGACATGTAAATGTGCTTTCAAATGTTTAATTTGAATCAACACTACAGCACACGCGCGTGGTATGAAAGTATTATTTTTAAATACAAACATTTTAAAGCGATAGTCAAATAAAAAATATTAATTTTTACGATGCGTTATTCCCTCCGTGAATTCATAACATTTTTCTTAATATTACAATGCGTTTTTTCTCCCAATGTAGTCTTAAACGGCGTTTCCACAACAACCGAACCACGTGGTTCGCTCTCTCAATTATGAACGGCGAATCAACCTGTTAACACGACACATTCGTGATTCACTTTGCATCTCTGCTTCTTGTTCTTTGCTTTTGTTTAATGTTTAATGTGCTGTTAATTGTGCATTTCAACGGTGGAGAAAAAATTTGCAGTGGTTAATTAGCTAAACGAAACGAGTTTTAACGAATCTAGCTATTTGGGGATATGTGTGGTCTATGTAATTTGACAGCCGTTATCGATAAAAATTAGAGAAGACAACGATTTGTTCTTGATTCGCATGTTGATTGGATCTGAACCACCTACGAATGAAGTGATTCGCTATCAAAATTTTGTGGGACGAATTACGGGATTCGGTTCGTAATTGGGGCGCCAATGACGAATGAGAGAGTAAATTACGAATGGAAGAGCGAATCACTTGCCGTGGAAACATTGTTTTAGTTTTCCTTGCCAAACAGATCTTTTGTCTATAGTCGCGTTTGTGAGCTCTGTGAAGTTAGCCCCCCACTTTTACAAATAAATACTTTAACCAGTGCACATTGTAGGACTTTGTTTGTAGTTGTTTGTAGTGGATTTAAATTTGTTTGTAGTTCAACAGACAACAAAATACGATAGGTTGAAAAAATCGCCCCCACCCCAATTTCACCTACAATCAATTTGACTAGTGTACCTTGTAGGAAATCGTTTGTAGTTGTTTGTAGTGGTTTTGATTTTTTCTGTAGCTTAACAGATAACGAAATACGAT